GGATAAAAACGAGCAAATTACAAAAAATAGCATAAAAAACACGTTTCATAAGACTTAAAGCACTCATTCATTAAAAAACTCGTGGCTTCGCCACTCGTTTTTCAACTTGAATTCGTGCATTTCAAGCGTGTGTTACGAAACTTGTTTTTTAATATACTATTTCGAAATTATGAAGCAAAAAGTTTTAATTTTAGCATTTACCAAACTGAACAACTCGATAATATTTTTTCTTTTTCCTTGTAATTGTAAATTAAGCGAGTTGCAATGGCCTATAAAATCCGTAAGAAATGCAATTCTTTTTACCCATACTGGATCTTCCAATTATTTTTCACCCAATGTGTCCAAAAATGCAATAATGTTTGAAAGGCAAAAGATTTAGAAATATTTTCAAAATATTCCTTGGCTGAGACACCTAATATGGGAATAGGTGCCTCCTTAATCTTCGAGCTTTTATGGAATTAGTAATTTTCACTGCTAAATCCATAATATCTTTAACATCAAATATTTTTACACATAACGCATTATTATGAATTATGCAATGAAAGGATATGAAATCAGGAAACTGTTCATTTTGTTCAAAGGCAAATTAATTTTTTTTTTGGAAAATGGCATATAAGTTGCCATCAAAAACCATTCTTATAAAAACAATCAATTGTGCAGTATCGACGATATATGTTGGCTCGTCAAACTACAACGAAAAGAAATGGCAACTTTGTATGTCATCTTCAAATTGTCGAGTTACATATTTATTCATATCTTCAATACGACGAGTTACAGTTCTGCGAGAAAGTTGCAAATCTTTAATTGCATTGAGAATTTCACTTTTATTTTTATAGTTGGAAAATAATTTCTCGCTGCCCTCAAAAAAAGCTTCCTTAAAAATTTCTCCATCCCGATAAGGCTATTTATGTTTTGCCAAAACCTATGTTATGACTTTATGACATAAGATGCTTCAGTTGCCATCTTGGATTGATGCACAAACTTTTAAAACATGAGGCATTATAGTATGTATTGTTCAATATGGTATCAATTAGAGCGCCTCAGCTGCAAGTAACTTCGGCTTATGAACAACATAAATTAAACATGCAACAATTTTCATCGCAAAAACCTACATTAATTAGTCACAAATATATATACAGGGTGTTCAGAAGTTGGCGGATAATCTACACGTAGCGACATTCTACAACCGACTCTGAACCGAAAATCTTAATGTTAAAATGTTATTCTATGTTGCCAAATGTGTTTTTCATGAAGATATGATAATAAAAAAATGTTAAAAAACGAACTTTAAAGATAAAGAAAATAATTTTAACAAAAAAACTAGTTTTCAAAATTCTTTTTGTTCTAAATTATAACCTATTTATCAACAGATATTGAATATTAATGATTATTTATGGACAAATTATCCGACCTTTGAGAACCTCATGAAGGCGTTTGAAGCATGGTATAACATTTTACGATTAAGAACATAGTTTTTACTGATATAATAAAAATAACTATTTACAACCATTACCTCAATAACATTGTATGCTTTCAATCTTTTTCAAACTCTGCTCATGAATATGTATTTAAAATTATAACGTGATTCATAAAAATATCTTTATAAACAAGAATTTTTTAGGTTGTATTAGCAAAAGAAGCAGGACTTCTTTACTCAGCAATTGCCTTGGTAACTGATTACGATTGTTGGAAAGACGACTACCAAACGGTTTCGCACAACGTTGTTCTACAAAGTTTCCAAAATAACGTCGAGAAGCTGAAAACCCTTTTAATTGCAGCCGTCCAAAAGGTTGCCGCGAAAAATTGGGATAAAGAAATTCAAGAATTACAGGTATTTATATTAATTTATGTAGCTATTTTTTTTTCTGTACACTATGCACAGTGTTCCTTTTAAATTTCTTCTTCCATTCCAATTTTTCACAAAATTTCCATTTCTAAAATCCTATCCTTTCCCTTTTCCAGATTGCCTTAGGATTAAAAACTCATAGAAGTTGTAAATGCCCCCCTAAAACTTAAAACTGGAAGCAACTAAAAAATTGAATTTGAATTGAGTATAATGTATACTTCTTTATTTTTACAGGAAATTCGCGTTATATATTAAATAATATAAAAAGATCATTTTAATAAATCTCTTTTTTTTTAATATTGTTTTTTCAAGTCAATTAATTTCTTTTATTAAAAATAAATTTATGTTAATTTAGAT